CCGGATGTTCTTCCCGGATGAAGGTCAAACCCTTGTGCTTGGCGTTCCTCCTCAGGAGGAAGGCCGAGCACAGACCATACCCGGATGTTCTTCCCGGATGGAGGTCAAACCCTTGTGCTCGGCATTCCTCCTCAAGAGGGAGGCCGAGCGCAGACCATACCCGGATGTTCTTCCCGGATGAAGGTCAAACATTTGCGCTCGGCACTTCTCCTCGGGGGGAAAGCCGAGCGTAGGCCATACCCGGATGTTCTTCCCGGATGGAGGTCAAACATACGCATTCAAAAAAAAACAAAAAACAAAAAACAAAAAAAAACATAAAATCAAGTTCATATCTTATTCATGCCTGAAAAAGGGGAGAGTACATGGCGCAAAAATTCATATCTTACTCATCCCTGAAAAAGGGGAGAGTACATGGCGCAAAAATTCATATCTTATTCATCCCTGAAAAGGGGAGAGTACATGGCAAAGGCACCAAGGCCAAGGCGTTTGGTCGGAGCATCTCGCCGAGAAGGCGAGCCCGCGCTCGTCCTCGTTTGGGCGACGAGGCGAGGCTAACACGCCTAGGCGGGCTAACTTGGGCGTGGCCCCGTATGGGCAAGCGCAAGCACCCCGGCAACGGCCGTTCGGCCTCCAAAACTTATTCGAGGAAATACGATTAAGGGTCGGAGCAAAACGATAAATGCATCACAAACCACGAAGAGTCAAGGGTAATAGTTGCACAGTGCAAAATACATTATTCAAGCGCAAGAACATTACATCAAAAAAAGAAATAAGGGTGGAGTTCATCGGTGGGACAGCCGCGCTCAGTTACTGGCGGTGTCCTCGCCCCCACCAGTGGCATCCTCGCCTTCGGAGTAGTAGATGGATGAGTCAAACTCCTCAGGGTTCTCGCATGGCTTCGGGAGCTCCTTCCCATCTCGGATCCGCTCCAGCAGAACCTCTTGAGCCCGGTGCAATCCCATGGAGTAATTGGCTTGCCCCTCCTTGAAAAGGAGACGCTGGCCGGCGGGAGTTTGAGCCCAGACCTTCAAGAGATCGTCCATGCGGGAGAGAGCCGCCTCCTCGAACGCGGGGGAGGTCTGAAAGGCCTCAATTACATGCTCGGCTTCCTCGCCAAGAC